ATATAGATATATATAGATATATATATTCTTAAATAATTTTTTAATAATCCAGAAACTGTGTACAATTATCGCTATGTGTGTTTGCGTATGTGTTCTTCTTATGTTACGTGTGTTAGTATGTCACTGTGCCTATGTGTGTCTGTATGGGATGATATGAATTTGTGTGTTTTTGTGTTATAGCACCGTGTGTTTTCCTTTGTAGCCTATTGTTGGTAAATTAACATTTGATTTGTGTTCTACTCTTTTTCTTAATATTTGCTCAAGTGACAACAGTGTCATAATTAAGGAGACGCTAACTGTGTCCGTGTTTTTTTTGTGCCAGCGTTATAACTGGCTTAATGTTAAATAGCTGGTTATACAGTTACAGTGCAGATAATCTATTAAAATATATACCTGTTGGATTGCTAGGGATGTTAAAGCATTGCTCTTTTTAGAAATAATTGACTTTTTAATGCTCGGCTATGTGTTATAATTTTGGATATAAGAAAAGATGTTCTCTTAAAAAAAATGTCATGTCTGTTAATATTTATACTGTCACATTTTATATATAGACAATTGCATAATGATGTTTTAAGGATATTTCATTCAGCTTGTTATATCTAATCTGTTTAATTAGCAACATGGGTTGGTGGAGGCTACATCAATGGAACAGCAGAAGCTGTGTATGTGTCAGGCTACGGGTTGGCTTATGCTCAAGCACCGATTGGCTATTCTCTCAGCCTCATTGTAGGTAAGTCACAATCAAATAACATGTATTGATATTTGTCTCAGTCAAAACTTGCAGTGGTTATCCACAAATTAGATAAAAGCTCACGAATACAAATACCAGGGAGATGGGAAGGTTAATGCATGGGTAATTTAATAAGGAGACATATCTAATCTATGTTCCACTGAGACACTGCACTTAAATAATCTCTTCAAGCCTCCAAGGCGGTGTCCTGCTTTATTTCAGCCTTGATAAGTTATATGTAAGATAATGCAGTGCCATTCCATAAGAAGATGAATGCCTAATAAAAATGGTTTAAGATGGATTCAGACAGTTGGCTTATCTTGATTGAAAACAGGAGACAAAAATACACCAAGAATCCAAGTGTGTAACTATGTCACGGGGAATGGGTACACTGCAGTATTAACTGTATGTAAAAATTATGCTGCCAAGGCATACGGTAATGATGTTGCATTATTCTGCAGACTCCACTCTGTTCTTACTACCCATAATAAATCATAAGTATTCTACCAATTAAACCATAATGTTCTGCAGTATTTGATGCAGAACACTTTCTATACTGGCATTCGACTGCATAATCCCCTCTTCAAAAGCCTGAAGAGAAAGAGGAAATGGCTATCTGTTTCTTAACATACAGGGCAGTCTAATGACTGTTCTGAGCGGCTCAAGTATGCCCTTCCTCTTCAGTTTGTGTGCTAGATTTGCCCTTAAGCCTCCAGGAGTAACAAGAAACATACAGAAATTGTAATTATTGCCCCCTTTTACTGTACTGATCCAGGCACTGGTCCAGAGATGCTTTGTGGTAACTGCAGTAGTGGGAACACATGTAAATGAATAAATCTAATGTTGGGATTATTTATAAATAACTTGTCCTAAAAGTGGAACAAGATCTACAGCAATTGTAAAATGCAATCACCTAGGAGGTGTCTGCACATACCTGCAGCAGTCTTCCAAATACTCATTATCAAAGTCATATTTCAGGCTGTTCTAACACTCAAAGCTTTATGACTGCCTGATAGTGTCAAAGTTTGTCCACCCCTTCCTGTCTTCTGCACATTTCTATTAGCCAGTAATGCTGCCTATCATAGTGATGAGCCAGAAAAGATAGGGGGAGGAGTTTAGCAGCTGGAACACTACCGAGAAGTGTTGGAGAGGTGCTTGTCAGACCTGGTCAAGATATGGCAGTGACAGGGGAATTTGGGGCGGCTGTTACAGGTAGGTGCCTAGACTTTGTGTCCGCAGAACGTTTTTTTACAAAGTCTCTAAATATTGTCTTAGTTGATATACTAATTATCATTAGTCCCTAGTCACTAATTAACATTTGTCCCAGCCCTCAAGGAGCTTACAATCTAAGGTCCCTATCTAACATGCATACATACATGGACCAATTTAGACAGGATCCAAATAACCTTCCAGCATGTCTTTGGAGTGTGAGAGGAAACTGACGTAAGCACAGGGAGAACATACAGACCTCTTGGAGATAGTGACCTGGCCAGGATTTGAACCAGGGACCCCCAATGCTGCAAGGCAGAAGCACTAACCACTACATCAGTTGCCTAACTTAGCTACCATTTGTAATAAATGCTAAGTCATGTCTTGCCAAACTTATCTGTTCACATATTTCATGACTAGAGTCATCTCTTTATTGAGGCAGCCTGAGGCTATTGCCTCAGGGACCATCTGTTTGGCTCACGTGGGGAGGCAGCAGGCAGAGCGGCATGCCCACTCTGCTGCACAATGTTAGCAGTGTGCCTGCCATCCCCTTTTCGGCCAGAGCATCCCAGGTTACTAAGAGCCTGGTAGGGAGATGTGTAAGGGACATACACATCTCCCCACCCAGCTCATAGCAGCCTGGGACGCTCTGGCCAGCATCACGCTTAGCTCCTGGCAACCAGTAACATCACTGGTTGCCCAGAGCTGGGAGGGATGCGAGCCAGAGCTGGGTGGGGAGGAGCTGGGAGGGATGCGAGCCAGAGCTGGGTGGGGAGATAATGCAGAGGCCACACCCTTTGCATATTCACCACCTCCCTCACCCTGGCTCATTCAGGCGGCGACATGGCTAGGTACGCCCCTGTTCATGACATCTAATTGAAGCATTCTGGAATAAAAGCCATTTAGTGCTATTTTAAAATAATATTGATTATCTAAAATTATGGGGGTGATTTATAAACCGTTTGCATAGTGAACAATTATGTGAAAGAGATTCACAGGGCATAGAAAATGTATATGCACCTTGGCTCCACCTAGTGGCCATAATGCCCTGTGAATCTGCTTTGCACTACTTTGCAAAGCTGTTTTCTATGCACATAGCTTATATATCAATCCCCATTATGTCCTAAAAGAATATATTGCTATATACACAACAGTAAATAATGAATTGTAAAGGTGTTTGTATGATAAACCACCAAATATTTTGTAAAAATCCTGTTAACCGTTAACCTTTAATAAGAAACCTGACTCCCAGTCTCACCCTGCACACATAATTATTAGCTTGCGGGACACCAATCTAAGCATCAGCCGACTGAGAATAATTGTCACTGGGGTCAGTTAACTCCCCAGTCAAACCTTCACTGGGGTTGTTTAGCTCTACAGTTAAACCTTTTCACATTAGCACATTTCACAACAGTAGCTGCCACCACATGTTTTACAGTTCACAGAAACTGCTATAGCAATTCTAAACATTAAGAAATGTCTGTGACACTCGTTGCCACGCCCACACAGGAGTGTACAGAGTTTAACATATGGTAGCCCTCACAGAGGCAAAGATTTTAACATTTCTGGTTAGAGCATTTAGAGATTGTGCCTATTGATTTTAAATATATTTGTAATGAAAGAAAGATAAACTTGTGCAAGAAAATACTTACAGGAAAAGATGTATTACTAAACAGACAATAACAGTAAAATACACGGATTAAAAATTATTAAAAATGAAAGGTACTTAGCCAAATTTTGCCTTGTCTTTGGTCCAATTCACTTCAGAGCATGTCCAGTTCTGACAAAGTCATTGGCCGTTAGGAATTAATTCTGGCATGGTTTCAGTGGAAACCAAGAGCTCCCAGAGGGTGTTTACCTAAAATGACATAACCAATAAGAACACCTGAAAGGTGTACTGAGGGGTGTTGTGATATTTTATCATACTCCAATGGACACTCCCTCAATGCCATTTTTTCTAACTATATTAATAATTTGAGATGCCCAAGTTTTACATTACAGCAACAAACATAATATTGAAATCAGGATTTGATAAACATCAAACATGATATGGATGTTATACATATTCTTCTTAGGGGATGTACTGTGTGCCATCTGCCTTCTGCACCTCATAACATAGGCGTGTTTGATGTCTAATAGAGGTTTATTCTCTCATACATCTAAGTAATGTTAGGAGCATGCTTGAACTCAGGAAGTGAAGATTTCCTGTCTTGTAGTAAACATTTAGAAATGTTAATTGTAGGGATGCACCGATATATCGGCCGAAAATGGCACTTTTGGCTAAATGCTGAAAGTGCCATTTTCCTGCCGATACAGCAGCACATCCCTGCTTTCTTTCCTCCCCGCTGGGCGCTGCTCTGTGACAGGCTGCCGAGTGCTGCGGGAGGAAAGCGCTGTGATCGGCCGGCGTCTCTCCTCCCCACATCGCTCAGCCTCCTATCACGCTGTCATTACACATTGGGCCCCCATGATATCACAGCGGCTTCTCCGTGTTCTCAGTGTGTAATGACAGATGTCGTTCCTGGTTACCTGGTAACCAGGAATGCCATCTGTCATTCCTCCCCGGATGCTCTGGGAGTCTAATAGGCACCCGGCCGCCCGGGAGAGAAACACTTTCTGCCAGAAAGGTTCAGAGTAAACCTTTCCCTGTTCGTTTTTTTTTTTTTCTTATGACATCGGAGGCGTTGGCTGCCGTCAGAAGAAAAAAAAAGAGAAATCACCATAGGAATGCATAGCTAGATTTCTATTGGATATTTCAATTTGCAATAGCCAATAGCAAACAAGCTATTGCACCCGCCCACTGCTGCTGTCAATCAGCAGAGGGGGACCTGCAGTTCTCCATCACGTCCCCCTCTGGTGATTGACATAGATTGAAATAGCCAGTAGGAATCTAGCTATGCATTCCTATGGTGTGTTCTTTTTTTTTTGACGGCAGCAGAAGCGCCCGGCCAATAGAAAACAGTTGGGCGGAGCTAGCTGTCACTGCTAGCTCCGTGCAATCGTTTTCTAATTTTTTTTTCAACTTTTTTCAACTATTTTTCTATTCTGCTTGGTACCACAGAGGGACCGAGCAGAACAGCCGAGCCGAATGCTGCTCTGCTCGGCTATTTACTTACTGCTGTTCGGCATCTATGAGAATAGACCGAACAGCAGCAAGTAGCCTGCCGGAGGTTCGGCTTAGCCGATCCAGATGTTGGATCGGCTGAGTCGAACTCCTTCTGCACTTCGGGTCGGCCGAACATGCTGAGCACCAGAAGCCACACAAAGCCACCCGATGTACGGCTGATTTCAGCCGATATACGGCTGGAATCAGCCGTACCAGCATGAAGTGAATAGCCTAACTTGTGCAATGGCTAGTCCTTTGCACAAGTTAGAAAAAAGTACCTATTTTTCCTATGCATAAAAACAGCTGTTCCCTGTTTCAGTACCCTTGATCACACTGGGGGACATTTATCAATGATGTCGCAAAGCCAGGCACTGATAAACAGGAGCAGTTAGACAAATTGGAGACTGATTTATTATAATTAGGCAGCTTTATTCATAACTTCCCCCTCAGCAGCTGTAAATGGCACTGGCAGAATAAACCTACCCCTGACCACTTCTTAACTGTGCATCTGTTTGGAGTGCAAATCTTTTTTACTTTTCTGCCCAGGATTCTAGGTGCAAGGCTCACAAATGCAAATACTGTTGTATAGACTTTAGTAACTGACAGGCAGTATGATTTGCCCATCAATGTGTCACTAAATTGCCTGATAAATGTCTCCCATTGCATCTAGCTACAATGCATTGCA